TACACTGTGGTAGATGGTGGTCATTGTTTGTTTTCCTTAAAATTTTATCCTAGTTTACTCTACTGAATGAAGGTGGATAGGCGAGTGCTGAACTCTCAACAGGATATATATATATATATATATATATATATATATATATATATATATATATATATATATAAAATCATTGTCATTCAAGGAGTTTCAAAAGCCACAGCAGCTCTTAACATAATGCATCTTGCCAATAATTTAAATTTTTTTCTGTCTTCACAGATATGAAAGAATTGTTCCACCAGTATAATCTTCTGGGGAATGTGCCTGCTGTCCTCTCAGTAAGAGCAACAATTCCAAGTAGAAGGGATTTTAAATTTTTTCTAGGATTGTTGGATTTTCACTTATGTCCTCTTTTACAGGGCATATTATAAACAATGTCATATTTCCTGTGTATATACTATTGTCAGATGAACCAGAAAAAACATAAACAGCGTGATTTCCATAGTGTTCTAAGGAATATTTTCATAACTTAGTTACTTTTGCTTGCATGCAGGATCATGCTTTCTTTATTCAAAGATGACTTTTCTCATTCTTTTGTTTTCCTCTTGTAAGCTTTGTTTTCTTCAGTCACAAGAAATTGAGCAATTTACGAAAATATGTTTCTTTGCAATTTCTGTGCAGTTTCAGCCTCATACCATTTCTGATCCCTGTTGGTCACTTGTGCTGGAGTAGAGAGAGAGCTTCTTTCATAACGCTTGTTTCCATCCTCCTTAGTCTTCATACTAACGGCTGTCTCCTGAGAACTCTGTACTATTCTTCATTTTCCTTTCCATGTAACTACCCACCTGTATTGTAAAAGACACACTATGTCCTCATTTGTCTTCCCCCAATTGCCTACTTCAGCCTCAACTGTGTGCTTCTTCTGATTTCCATAGCAGTTCTAGATCTTTCTATTCATCATCCTTGTAACACTTCCGGCACTGAGTTTGGGTTCTTAGATCTTCCTCTTGGATTTGCTTAGTCACCTGCAAATGGTGCTTGACTTAATGGTTCCACTGAATGTTTGATACCAGATGATGCACTTCTTTTTCCTGTGGGATATCAGCAATATTGTGATCTTCCTGTACAGTAAAATATCCATATACTTCCTACAATCTATGGAACCATCAGTGTATACATTGGACTTTGTCTTTGGTCCATGGTCTCTGCCAGTGCACACTCATTTGCTGGTCTGTAGCAGTCATGCAATCACCCTCAATAACAATGTCACAGAATTCCTCCAGGCTGGCACTGTCATGTAAAATTCTATTTTGTGAACATCCCTTAATTGATCATGGGGTGCCACTGGGCACTTGTTGGTGTTCTACAGGTTGAAATTCCCATGATTGTTACTGGATGGAGTTAAAAGCAAATTTAATTGTGTGGTTGTTCTTAAAAGTGGGGATGCTGGTGCCCAGTGAGATTCCCTCTTCCAGGTTAGGATGGTCTTTGGTGTTTTGGGCATTCATGTTGAGATTTCAATAGTGCTGTTTTCTTTCCATATCTAGGAGGTGGAGTCTCATAGCAGTTGTCTGTTCTTCTGGCTCTTACAATGTTTTTGCCTCCTCTACTTCAGTGTTTCCTGAGCCTTGAGTGAAGGCTATGCATTGTAGCAGACCAACTGTTACTTGGTACCACACCATCACTTGTTTTCTAGGTTTTGATCAGTTGTATTTGTGGGGGAGGGGGAGTTTTTCTTCTTTGAAGGGAAGTTTCTTTTTTGAGAGGTGAGAGCTACAGCAAGGAAGGATTTCTGAGAAGAGGAGAAAATAGTCTTCACAAGGGAGGAACCCCTAATTGGTTATCCAGTAACAGATGATGAACCCTGAAATCAAGTACATACAAGTGACATTACACACACACAAATACACACAAACACACAAACACACACACACACACACACACACACACACACACACACACACACACACACACACACACACACACACACACGTGTCCAAATACATTTATGTAACAACAATTAAAGGAAAACTCCAGAGGTCATGAATTTGAGAGGAAGCTAGTGTGTGGGTACATGAAAGGGGTTAGAGGAAACAATGTTAAAACTATATTTTATTAAAAAAACAAAGACAGGGAACTACAGACTATAAAAAGTATTTACATTTGTTTTTTTGGTTTTTCGAGACAGGGTTTCTCTGTGTAGCTTTGCGCCTTTCCTGGAACTCGCTTTGGAGACCAGGCTGGCCTCGAACTCACAGAGATCTGCCTGCCTCTGCCTCCCGAGCGCTGGGATTAAAGGTGTGCACCACCACCACCCGGCTAAGTATTTACATTTTTAATACAAATTAAATTATAATTATAAAATGTGCTTCTCAGCATAATTAAATACGGAATGGAGTTTGGAAAGACAAAATGAAAACTGATGTGTAGAGCTATGTTTGCTCAACTTAAGCAGATATAACCCATTTTTAAACATTTGTAGTGGGACATTCACAGATATTGCAACAATGTGAAATCCATAGATCATCCACAAGCACACTCATTTTTGGTATTTTCAGTATTTTCTTCCTTAATTTTATAATGATTTTTTTGCTTTCTTTTTTATTCTCAGTGTTTTATTAACTTATAAAGTTTTCATATGGTATTTTCTTACTAAGTGTTTTGATTGGCCCAAAACCTCCTATTCCTCCATTTCTCTGCCCTCATCTCAGCTTATACTGTCCAATTTCCATTATGCTTTCTTTTGCTTCCAAAAATACATGTATTGAATTACCCTCCCCATCCCATCCCTGGACCCTCTAATGGACACTGTAATGTTTCCTGGACTTCACATACACTTACCTTTATATAAACACACATTTCCGAAAATTAGATGCTATGAAATCGCACATGGGACAGACAGTGCTGCTGTGGGATGGTCTGTATGTCAAATTGCTCTGATTAGTCAATAAATAAAACACTGATTGGCCAGTGGCCAGGCAGGAAATGTAGGCAGGACTAACAGAGAGGAGAATAGAGAGAACAGAAAGGCAGAGGAAGATAATGCCATCTGCTGGCATGACAAGCAGCATGTGAAGATGCCTGTAAGCCATGAGCCACATGGCAAGGTATAGATTTATAGAAATGGATTAATTTAAGATGTAAGAACAGTTAGCAGGAAGCCTGCCACGGCCATACAATTTGTAAGCAATATAAGTCTCTGTGTTTACTTGGTTGGGTCTGAGCGACTCTGGGACTGGCAGTAGACAGAGATTTGCCCTGACTGTGGGCCAGGCAGGAAAACTCTAGCTACATAGTGCTCTCTGTATTTATTAACTTGGAATATGTTACTTAATAGAGTAGTAATTTTCTTCTCCAGCTGTTTCCTAGGGTGTTCTACATTGCCAGTGAATGGGGAACAGGATCCTATAAGTATCTGGTAGTTCTTAAGGTCTCAGCTCATATCCGCACTATGTTTAAACTTCTTCAGATCCCAAGCCTCACTGCCAGTTCTTCCCCAGTTCTTGATGGTCCAGCTGATGGTCCTTACATAGCTAATGATTGTGAAGGGCAACAGTGATGTCCTTGGAAATGCTTGGTACAGCCTGGTGCTAATTCACAGATGCTACTGTCTGCTTCTGCAAGGGAAACTCACCTGATTAGAGAAGGTTTTGCAGAAACCTTCCTTCATGGGAACAGTGTATGGTGTCCTGAGAGTTTCCTGCTACTGCACTGATGGGCTGTCTAACCTAATGCCTTCTTTCCTCTCAATTCCACTCTAGACTTAGGAGCAGTACATGATTATCCCAGACACAGTTTCAATAGAAACATGAAACATTATCCCAGTAGCTATCATTTATCAGATATTATCTTTATCTGTGATGCTTTTCCAGGCATATTTTGCCTATGTTGGTTCTTTTGTACATTTGTGAGATTTCATCATAGTAGATGTCCCCACCTCTCTAACAGCCCTGACCTGAGTGTGCACACATGCATGTGTTGTCTACATACTGGGAATTTTCATAAGGTATAGCTCTTAATACCATGTAAATTGTCACTTGAGCCATTATCAAATAAGTTTGTGTTCTTAATAATCTTTTCTTATGTATGACAACTATGGGGATGAGATGTAAAGACCATTCAGGAACATCAAAGTCAAACTGAGAGTCTGTCTTAAGTTACATTCCTTGAAAAGAAACACTTCTCAGATAGTTGCCTCAAGTGCATTTTATAGGGAGCATTAAAAAGCAAAAAAAAGAACAAACAAAACAAAATCAGAAAAGTTATATATTATTTGGCAATTATCAGGTGGAAGTAAAGAAAGCATTCAGTTTAACCCGATACAAAGCCATGCAGTTACCTGCACATATTGAACCCCAATTTTTAGAATATTGTTGAGTACTTTCCCAAGATACTATTCATGAATTGAGTAGGGAAAGGAGGGTAAGTTTCAGGTTAAGCCAAAAAAGACTCTACCTTAGACAAAATGGGGGAAACTTTGCCCTGCCACAAGATCATCGATATATTCTGATTGGCATTACAAATTTCTCATTACTTGTATTTTAATTTTAGGTAAGCTATACAATAAGAATTGAGATATTTAAGTTATGTGGTCTTTATTGAAGTTGTCTTCTTTTACATAATGTCTAGAAAATATCAATATTTTCTGGAATCATTTTTGTTCCTATGGGCTGGCACTTTTCATTCTTTCTCACATGCCAACATCATATTGTTCCAGATGCTGCAATTTTCTATGAAAGTTAATGGTTCTTCTTCAATCAATGTGTGCATTCTGAGCTATTGATTAATCTCTTAGGAACATACACAGAAAGTGACTACTTCAATCAAAACTTTTGGGAGAGATCTTTTTGTGTGGTCTAGGCTGGCCTTGAATTCCTGAGTTTAGAGGACCCCCTCTTTAAGCTTATCAGTAGCTCAATGGTTTAATGGTGTCCTTTTTTTTTCTTTTATCACAAGTGATGATCATTTGTGGTTATTCATTTTGACCAGAGATGTAGCAGGGAGACAATATAAAGGAAGTTGTTCTGAATTACAGAATGGACTTCTGGATTCTTGCAATCAGAATTATTTTCTTATCACAAACTACAATTGGAATTCTGGGGAATTTCATTCCTATATTCTACTATCTAGTCCTTTACTACAGAGAATGCACATTAAAGCCCACAGATTTGATTCTCATGCACCTAATGGCAGCCAATGCATTGATCATTCTCTCTGCAGGAGTATCTCATACAATGGCAGCTTTTGGGTTTAAACAGTTCTTGAATGAATTTGGATGCAGGCTCCTACTATTCATTCAAGCATTTGGCCGTAGTGTATCCATTGGCATCACCTGTCTCTTAAGTGTTTTCCAGGCCATGGTCATCAGACCCAGGGAATCCTGTTGGAAGAATCATAAAGTCAAAACTGTAAATCACATTGGATGCTCCATTTCCCTCCACTGGATCTTCTTCATGTTCATAAATTTCATTTTCTTTCTGTACCCATTTATCAAACTTAATAGCAAAAACATGACAAGAAAACGAGATTTTGTATTCTGCTCTATTTTAGGGCGTGATGAAATCAGTGACTCTCTCTATGTAGTATTGCTGGTGTGTCCTGAAGTCTTCTTTGCTGTTCTCATTGCCTTGTCCAGTGGCTCCATGATTGTCTTTCTGTACAGACACAGGAAGAGGGTTCAACACATCCACAGTTCTCATGGTTCCAGCAGAATTTCTCCTGAGTCCAGAGCCACCCAAAACATCCTGGTCCTGGTGTCTACCTTTTTGTTTTTTTATACACTCTCCTCCATCTTACGAGGCTGCATTGCTCTTTTGCATAATCACAATTGGTGGCTGGTGAACATCACTCCGCTCACTTCTCTGTGTTTTCCATCTTTTGGACCCTTTGTTCTTATGAATCATTATTCCATTCTGTCAAGGCTTACTTTGATATGGATCAGGAATAAAAATAATTTAATCTTATTTAAAGTACATTAATGATGATATGTTCTGTGGGAGATACAGTTTTTTACTTAAATATCATCCCCAGAATGTCAATACAGAAAGTTAAATAGGTAGGGTCTTGTCTTTCAAAGATAAACCAAAATGAGCATGAGAGTTTTGTAAGTTGGTTGAATTAGTAGCCTACATGAATCTCATAGCTACTAGATTATCACCTTGCCTACCTGACATACACATGAGCTAGGCAACCAGCTAATAAAACCAATCAAATTGCACCTCTTGGGGCTTTCATCCTGTTGGGGCATCTTCACTGCTTGATGATTTCACAGACACCTTGATTGACCTACACTCTAACTACAAGGAAGACTCAAACCATGGCTGTCCATAAGCTTGTGTTCCTTGAGACCCTGCTCCATCCACAACTACTTCCTCCTGTACCGGCAACAGAAAGCATCTTCAGCCTTATATAGATCACTTGCAGTTGTTCTACAGTAAAATCCATTGAGTCATTCTGAACATCCACAGAGTTTGGAAGACGCCTTTCTGTCTTTGTTTGTTTTCTCTTTCACTGATTTGAGTAGTATTGATGTTACTTCTTAAAATTCCTTTCAGAATTATGATCTGGTTCTATGGGAATGTGAGCTCTTTTTAGTTGAATCACTTTTTTTAAAAAAATTACTACTTCAATCTATCATAAATTATCATATTTTTATCAATTTATGTCCAGATTCACTCTTATCTTCCCCAGGTTGTTTGAGTGTTTGTTTATATGCCAAAGCCTAAGATGTCTTTATCACTTTGGCTCTGTAGTGTAATTTGACATTGTTCAGACCCATGCAGGTCATGTGCGTTCTTCGTAAGTCTCTGTGAGTTATTATGAGCTTTTATATTTTTGGGGTCCTCCATCTCCTGTGGCTCTTATACTTTTTCCATCTCCTCTTTTGTAGAGTTCCATGAGTCATGACAGTAAAAAATTGCTAGAAACATCCCATTTAGGAGTGAATAATCCAAAGTCTCTCTCTCTCTCTCTCTCTCTCTCTCTCTCTCTCTCTCTCTCTCTCTCTCTCTCTCTCTCTCTCCATTATGTCTGGCAGTTGATCTCTGTATTTGTTTCCCTCTGTTGCAGGAGAAAGCTACTCCTGCAAGTCACTGATCCATGATAATATCAAAATGTCATTAGGAGACACTCCTTTGCTAAGTTTCTTTGAACCAATATTATTTGTTTTTACCCTATGTCCCTGGGCTATCTAGTTTCTGGTTTGGGCATTCCAATCAAAGGTGTGTATAGGTTCCATCTAATAAAGTGGGCCTTAAGTTAAATGTGATATTGGTTGGTTACACCTCATGCTTTGTGCCACCATTGCCCTAGAATATTTGAAAGACAGGGCACCATTGTTGTTTGAAGAGTTTATGGCTGGCTTGGTACTCCCTTTTCTCTTTTGGTAGCCTTCAGAGGAACTTCCTGTACCAAGGAAGCTAGAACATAAGGGTAAAGTGTCTGTATATGCAGTAGCTCAACTTCTTCATGTTCAAAATGTTGTGGCCTTGCTATAATTTTGTGGAGAAAAACCTATATTCTTGGCAACATCCTGGATTGTTTGGAGATTCCTGTGGGATCCATTTGGCAAAAAACTCAAATATATGTATGCAAATCATGATATTCGACATTTCATTTGGTGAAAAGAGATGTTCATTTGGTACTCTTTCTTCCCATTATTTGGAAACTTCAGTTATATCACCTTCATACACACTTGTGTGTGTGTGTGTGTGTGTGTGTGTGTGTGTGTGTGTGTGTGTGTGTGTGTGTGTATACATGTTTTTCTTTCTATGTGTACATGGTCTTTCTATGCAGTCCTGGCTATACTGGAGCTCATTATGTAGATCATACTTGCTCTCTAACTCAGACATCCCCCTGTCTTTTCCTTCTGACTTCTGAGGTCAAAGATGTGTGTCACCACACATGCTGTTTAATTTTTTAAAGTTTATTTAGTACATGTATGTGGTCACATGTGTAGGTCAACACTAAACTCAGTTCAGTCACTTCTCACTTTCTACTATTTAAAAAAATTAAGTCATTAGTCTTGCCAGCAAGTGCCTTAACCCACTGAGTTCTCTTCTCAGCTCCCTGTCATATGTGAGAGCAAGTTTGAGAAGACATTTGCACTTTGGCTTGACATTTCAATTATATTCTTGAGACAGGGACTCACACTGTAGCTTATTTTTTCTTGGAACCCACTATGTAGCTCAGACTGGCTTTAAATTCAAGGCCTTTCTCTTCCTTCAACCTGTGAGTGCTAGGATTAAGGCATGTGTTATTATGCTTTTCTTGTTTTCCATGTCTTTCTTTAAACTAAAAAAAAAAGATTTCTTTTATTTTTAAATTATGTGTATTCTCGTTTTCCTGCATGTATGTATGTACATTACTTTGATTCAGTACCTAAGTAGTCCAAAAGAGGGCATCCGATCTCTGACAACTGGTTTTGAAGAGGGTTGTTGATCTTAGTGTAGGTGCTAGGAATTGAATCTAGGTGGTCAGGAAGAGCAGCCAGTGCTCTTAATTGCTGACCCAACTCTGTATACCCTTGCTCGAATTGCTTGATGAGTTTTGTGCAACTATGAAAGTGTTTGAAACTAACTGCTGATGGAGAATTGGCTAAACCTGTGGGTGTCCAGTGCACCATAGTTTCCTTGTGGGTTTTGACCATATTCTAACTCTTTGAAAAACCTCTGTATTTACCTGGGTTATACTAAAAAATAATCACTTATTTGTTTCTTGGAGGCAGTTCTGTGTTCTTTACCTCACACTGGTCTTGAACTTAACGATTTTGCTGTCTTTGGTTCCTGGTTGCTAGGATTATGGGCAATTACTACCAGTTTTGGTTCAATAAATAATTGTCTGTCTAGACAATTTATCAAGAGAGAGAGTTCAAACACCAAGTCTTTAGCTGCATGCTCACATTCAAACTAGTTTCTCCTGCTCAGTCAACCAAGTTCCTTCCTCAAGTGTGTGTGTGTGTGTGTGTGTGTGTGTGTGTGTGTGTATGTGTGTGTGTATACACACATGCATGTATGCCCATGTGCATGCACACATGCATATGTAGAAATCTGAGGTTGCTGTCCAGTGTCTTCCTAAAGCCATCTTCCCTGTGTGTTTCAGACAGGGTCTTTCACTGAACCCAGAGCTCTATTTTTAGAATAGACAAGCTGAGAGTGATCCTCTAAGATCCTCTTTTCACTGACCACACAGTATGAGGTAACAGATCTCCATTGTATGAAAATATTTTGATGGGCTCTTGAGAATCCCTATTCAGGTCCTTCTGCTTTCCAGCAAGCCTTTTGTCACCCATGACTCCTCCCCAGAGTACAAGTGAATTTTTCAAGGCGTCTATAGAATAATTGTCAGTTAATTTTTTGGGGGGAGACAGACTGGAGGAAGGTTGAGTCTACCTGGAACCTCAACCTTGGCTCTTATTCACTGTTCTCTAGAATACAAGCCTTGTGTAGTCCCTTCCCAAGATTTTCTCAGCTCCTGATACCACAGGATAAAAGAGTCACTTCCATACTTCCATTCTTCCCCCTTTGTGATGCTTACTACTCAGTTAAAAAATTACTTCCTTATTGATGTCAACAAGACTTTCTCAGGGCTGATGTTGACACCCTCATCAGACACACCATACCATGATCCTGTCATGCACCAGGAGGATGAGCTCTGAGAATATTCAATCTTCATCACTTTCAACTTCCTACTATATGAAGGTTGTGGGACCCAAACTGGCCACAGAGCCCCCATCCAGCTGCCAGCATCACAGATACATCCTACATATATAGCTGTGTTGCTTTGTTTCAGACACAACAGTTTTCAGAGGACAGGACAGTCTCCAGTTGTCTGGGTGAGAATAGACTCTGAGCTGGCCTCTTATTTTTCATATAGATAAACTGCTTAACTCATTCTTGGCTGAAAGACATTTAGTATTTAGGTTATTTCAAATGTTTTTCTGTTTATATAAGCATACTACAAAAATACTACAGTGGTATATGTACACATTGGATTCCTCCTTATGTTAATATTTAGAAGTAGATTATTGAATATAATAAAATCTACACCTCATATTCTGTTAAAAAAAGAATCTACTTAGTGTCCCAGACTGTACTGGGAATTCTGTAGAATAAAGCCTTGCTTTACTGCTTCATACTTGGTGAATTCACCAGAATTAGAGTCAAGTGCATAGATATCATTGTCAAATGCCCAACCTACCCTTACTTCATAGTTCTTCTCTGTAAAGAAATTTCTGAGAAAATGGCTGCTTGACACATTTGAGGGTTTTCTTTCTGCTCTTCACTTATTTTCCTGTCAATGGAGCACTGGGGTTCTACACATTAGCTATTACATCTGGCTTTTCAATGGTTTCTAGCAATCTTCATACAGATCCTCTTGTTGGTGCATCAAGCAGTTTATCCACTGATCAGTCTCCCCTGACCCAGAATAGGATAACTAACTACAGTAAGACAGCAGGAATTTCTGTCTAAGAACCAGTATGTCAAACCTACTTCATCTCACATTTGCCATGCTAGAACAACACATTATTCTCATAAAATTCCATGGGTACCACACACAAATAACCTTGAGTGCAATTCTGAGGACATCACTGATACTTGATGAGATCATGAATCTGTTTCACTCACCTTCAACAAAAATGTCATTAAATACCCAGCCAACATTTTTTTCTATTTTTAGCACTTTTACTAGGGACTCAAGTGATTTCAATCAATACCTACATTATATTAGTTGTAGTGCAGTTAATGCTAATCATTAAAACATTTCCCTCTCTTCTTTTTACAAAAAGTCTAACTATTATTTGTTTGAGGTAATTTTCCAAATTCATTTTGCTAGCTCATGGAATCTTTGTAGCCTTCTCTGTGCTGTGACAATTCACTAGCAAGTCTACACACTTAAACATCTCCTCCAAATGCATGTTCCAACGGCCAGGCATCCTCCTGTGTCAATCCTCTCCAATGATCATTCTCTAGATCTATTA